TCCGACAGGTACGCATCTTTGACTTATTTACTTTTCCAGGTCCATTGATGTATATTTACCTTACTTCACCTCTATATATATATGTATATACATATATATATATAGAGAGAGATAGATAGATAGAGAGATAGAGATAGATAGATAGAGAGATAGATAGAGAGAGATAGATAGATAGATAGATAAATTGAGAGATATATAGATAGAGAGTTAGAGAGATATGAGATAGATAGATAGATAGATAGATAGAGAAAGATAGATAGAGAGATAGAGAGAGAGAGAGAGATAGTTAGAGAGATAGATAGATAGAGAGAGAGAGAGAAAGAGAGAGATATAGAGATAGTTGGATAGATAGATAGATAGATAGATAGATAGATAGATAGATAGATAGATAGATAGATAGATAGATAGATAGATAGATAGATAGATAGATAGATAGATAGATAGATGTACCCCAGGTGTTTTTTTAAATTCACAGATTTGATTAAAAAAAGCCGGGAACGTTACACTCATGTGGTTTGTACAGGCGAGTTATACGACCTGGGGGGCATATTATAGGGGGTTAATTGTATCGATAAGTGGACTTATTTATTAATATTCGTTAATAATTTTACTTAATAAAAGTTGACTTATAGTTCATATTAGAAACTTCCTGAGCATCATCGAAAACCACCAAAACAACTTTTTTTAGAAGGATACAACGCCGGGGGAGCATTTTACGGCATTCTGCACAAACGCTTCTTTTGGACGCGTTTCTAGGTTTCGTTTTCTTATCGGACCGCATCTTTGCACCCGCGGTCCAGCCCCCCGGAGGTCGTGGCGCGAAGCCACGCCCTCGTCTCTCTAGTAGCATGGAGGGAAGTTTGGCGCACGTGTGTTACGCGTCTCAGCCACTGGGGAGCAGGACCGCGGGTGCAAAGATGAGCTCCGATGCCGCGTTCAAACTGAACGGTTTTTCGGAGCACCATAAAATGCCCTTCCTGCAGCTGCCTTATATGTTTCTAAAAAGAGTTGTTTTAGTAGCTTCGGATGATGCTTAGCAAGTTTCTCAGTTTAACCACATGTTTGTTTTCACTAACTAAAACATTAATGAATAAACTTTAGTTAATTATCTTACTGATTAGTACGTTTTTGCAGCTCTTCACGTCCACTAAGGGCGGTAGTTCGTTCCTTCACAGAGTTTTTTTTTAAATTTTGAATACCCTATATTTAGTGTTTTTTGATATATGATGAAGAGCGGTCCCCGCTCGAGACGTCGTAATAAACTTCGTATTAGTAACTCCGACAGTAAGCATCTTTGACTTTTTTTTTTCAGCCACTGGGGTGCAGGACCGCGGGCGCAGAGATGCGCTCCGATAAGTAATCGAAACCTAGAAACGCGTCCAAATTGAGCGTTTTTACGGAAGGCCCTAATATATTGCCCCTGCGTTATATCCTTCTAAAAGGAGTCGATTTAGTAGTTTTCGATGTCGCTGATCACGTTTCTAATTGGAAGACTATGTCCTATTTTTATACTTTTAAAAAGTTAATTTTGGATTTTTAATCAATTAGTTGGCCGATTATCACGATTAGCCCCCTATAGGAAGTATTCACTGGCGGCCATAACTGTGTGCGCGACTGCTGAGCGCGTGCAAAGGGCGAGCTTCCACAGTTCTTTTGCAACGTGCATTTCGCACTATCAAGACTGCCGGTCTTGGCAGCCTATTAATGTGAGCTTGTTCTGAGCATGCGTTCTAAACAGCACCCACAAATAGGGCGTCTAGGGAATACTCCCTATAGACTTCGTCAGCCTGGCCGTATAACTCACCTGCACAAATCGCATTAGTGTACCTTTCACGGCATTTTTAAACTAATCTGTAAAGTTAAAAAAAAACGAAAAAACATATGTATATATAGGGTGGTTCAAATCACCAGGCTCGATCTAAAATGGACCGTAAAAATCGACGCCTGCACGTAGCCATTTAAACTTTTTGTAAAAGGTCTATTTCACAGGTCTGTTTTTTTCTGATTAAATTAGAAAGCGTAGCTCTGTTTCTGTAAAACAATAAGGCCAAGAAACTTGCCAGGGTCTACGGCAGGCAGCAACGCAGACGACAGGGGTGCAGTAGCGGGGTGTGTTGGCGTTCGTATTGATAGATGGCGCTACCTCCTAATCGCGACGGCTCGAGACCACCGTGGTTTATAAAAATTAATATCATATTTTTGAAATGTACATTCGGTTAAAAAATGAATGTGAACAATAAAAGCAAAACTTAAAGTAAAAAAACGCGTCTGCATAACGGCGGCGCTTTTGCTGCCAACGGATTTTGTCTGCGTGTCGTCTGCTATCTTTCGCTGATCGGCTGCACCTTCAGACGCTGCTTCCGACGCCATCTATCAAAACGAACGGCAAACACACCCCGCTACTGGACTTAGTCGTCTGGGTCACCGCCCGCCGTAGACCCTGGCAAGTTTCTTGGTCCTATTTTTTTACTAAAAGAGAACTACGCTCTGTAATTTTACAAGAAAAAACCGACCTGTGAAATACACCTTTGACAAAAAGTTTAGGTGGCTACGTGCAGGAGTAGATTTTTACGGTCCATTTTAGGATCGAGCCTGGTGACTTGAACCACCCTATATATATACATAAGAGGACACGGAACACGACGAACGCTGCAATGCGATCGACCAGATAATATTCTGCAGGCGCGCGCCCGAGTAACCTCAGGCAACAGCGGTTCCGCCGTCCATACAGCGCAACTAAGGAGGCAAAAAGGGAGACAATTTGTATCGTTCCTATGGCACCTGGGCGCGTGCTCTTCCCGCTCAGACATAGCGTCCTCTATACACCTTTCCGAAAAACGCTCTAGGCAGTCGCCATGTTGCTGATGCTGATGCGGCTGGTGCAACTCTCGCGCCCTCTATCAGCTAGAAATGTTCTGCCGCTTGTTGGACTGTGAAACCACGCTCAGCGCGATTCTTTATATATGTTTTACGGTTTTGCATTCGACGTTTTCTCGCCCCTCTTGAAAGTTTCTACTTAATTTTTTATGCGTAATGCGTACCCCCTTTGTGTTATCTCCCACTGTGACAAATAGACAAAAAAAATTTGTTTGCTTTGTATATTTATACAACCTTGATGATAGACGCCTCAACGGGTGATCTGTCTTATACCTGTCGATGAGAAATTTAGCCAATCCAGTGCAACCGCTAACCTGGGGGTTCTAACGTGCATCACACAGCAGTGATTCCACGAGCGCGTTCTGGTACGGAACTCATCCAGATCGAAACGGGGGGGATTGAAACCAGAAGGTTCCCAGCTCAAGCTTTCGCTCCACGCTTCGAGCTGGGACGCGTTAGCCCACTCGGCCACTTAAAGCGTTAGCCCACTCGGCCAATAATTAAAGCTACCAATAGCTCTAAATAGCCACATATCGAACAGCCATCTGGTGGTGCCGCATGCAACCAAGACGAGGAGAGGGTTTCACCTTGCAGCTGCGGCGCGCGCGGTATCTATGCTTTATAGATATGTTACACGCGGACCACGCATACCCGTGACAGGAAATATCACAAAAGCCGGTTTGGTTACCATGACTGCAGAGGCAAAAGGATGTACAGAAATGGAAAGAATGAATCAAATACATACTCATCGCTACCAGCAATCGCACCCACACATCTTCGGCCGCCTCCCTATGCACTACCGCCGGATTCATGAATCGATTTCCGACGTGTATCGACTGAGGAGCGACCTCTACGTCTCCTACCACAATGGCCTCTTTTCAAAAGTTCTGCCAACAACATTGGCGGTCGCCATTGCTGGGACCCGAAACGTGTGATTGGATCCGAGTGCTCGCCGAACGATGACGCAGCCTTCGTGTCCAATACACGCACAGGGTATGTTGGCGAAGGCTGGCGGACAGGCGAAGGCGCGGCTTTGGGAAAGGGTCTATTACGATATGCTTGCGTTCTCCGTAGTGTGTGATGGTGTTGTAGGGGAGCATGGGGAAATGAATAAACACTGTTTTTTTTTCACCCGGAAAGCGACTTGTTAATGTATTTTTAAACAAATTTGAACGATCGCGTTTTAAACAACGCGTCCCATGTCCGATACCGTGCTTTCCGAACTAGTCCGCGGAATATATATATTCGAAAATTTCAGGTTTATAGGGGACTATCTCCGGATGCGTACAATAGAAGGATTGATTTTCGTTTTTTAAAGATCGTTCATTATGACGAATCATGACGGATTTTGTGAATTACGGAGTCGGTTAGTGATCGTTTATGTATAATACAACCTTCTTTTTGAACTAACAAAGCAGGCATTCTTTAAGGCGTGCTGTTAGGAGAGCTGTTTTTTTTTTACATATACTAAGCAATATACACTAAAGCGCCAAGGACAAGGACAAGCAAAAAACGTAGAGGACAAGCGCTGTACTCACAATTGAAGCTTAACTCAAAACCTACCTTCAACTCACAACTGACGTTTAACTCAGAACTGATGTTTCACTCACAACTCACGTTTGGGGCTGAACGCATGTAAGCGATTTTGCGATTGACGAGACTAGCGGCGGCGATAGCGACGAGAGTCAGCGACGAGCGACGAAGATTTCTCACTCTCTTTTGTCGCGTCGCTCGGTTTCTGGATTGCTAGAAAAAGTCGCTCATCTTCTTGGTCACTTGGTCCTGTTGCTTCCTTGCGGTTTCCCTCGTCGCTCGAGTGACCGTGCAGCAGCAAAGCGGGTCGCCGTCGCTTGTCTCGTCGCTCAACAAATCGCTTACATGCTGTTTATACTTTATACTCGCAACTGACGTCTTCTTCTAGGCACGAGGTGCGAACTATGAGCCGTGTGCACACCACGGTCTGGAAAATACGGCAGTACTTTCAATGGAAGTGTCACTGGCATTTCGTTTTTCCTGAGTTTTGTAAAACTGTTGATTATTGTTGACATAAAAAAACTGTTTTAGACTGCTTTGGGATTTATTTAATGAGAACCTTAAAGAATAGTATATCTAAAATTGCTTACGTCAGACAGTGAGCAGATGTCAACACATGTTGGGAGCTTATCAGCGCTCCACCGCAGCGGTGTCCGCTTGCACCTAAAATTTCAACCATCCATGGCCAAGCTCCAGGAGTCGCGTTTGTGCCGTTCAAAATGCGTTCGCTTATCACAGAGCCTGGCGTTGTTGTAACAAGTCCACAATTCTCTGCACGAAACAGATTTGAAACGTTCTATTGGTAATGGTTACGTGGTATTAGTAGGAGGTAACGCTTTACGGAGAGAAAATAGCCGAGCGACGCATTTAATTGCGATCCGGGATATAAAACACCGAGCTAGTAGAGTGGTTTTTAGATGAAAGTGTTCGACTCTTCATGGTTAACTATAATTAGTTGCACGAAGTACTTACTTGGAATTGTAGTGTCAGAACATAGACGAGATGCGGTCAGTACGCTGTGACTAGAATGATTAGCCAAAACCTTAGTACAAGAACAGAATAGAACGCAAGTGAAGTATTCACATTTTTAACCAGAGCAGGGAAACAGAACGGGACAACACTCTTCCCACTCCCCTGTTTTAAAATGTCAGTTTTTAAACATCTCGCCTGCACTCTTGTTTTAACTTTATTAAGTGAAGTGTAGAACTATAATGTCTTTGCAAACCAATTTGAATGACGAGACAAACGTTAGATCGCAACTGTTCACCCCATTAAACGTTTATTAATTTCTGTTTTTTTATTGTTCTTTTGGTCCCCACTCGTATTATTCTGGTGGAGGTGCGGGGTACCGATGTCCCTCCAGCGTACCCCCTCGAGGGAACGCAGGGCAAGTCTGAAGCAAGCCCATGACGACCCAACGAAGACACGACCAAGACCCGATTAAGTCGCCGGACTCAAGGCCAACACAAGGAACTGGGAAGTTTGCTACCCAGCACCTCCACCAGAATGTCACGGGTGGTGACAAAAAAAAAAAGGAATAAACAGGTATAAATAAACGGTTAATGGGGCGAACTTGTGCACGAAACAAAAAAGGGAGTAGAAGATAGCAACAAAGCGTCGCGGGCGTCGAAGTCGGCGTAACAGCAGGATCGAACGCTGGGCGAGACTGACACCGGCCCGCCACACGGAGCACCTTTTGTATCGGTGTGGGTTTCTGGAACATTTGGCCTAGAACGTTCGGCGCCTAGAACATTCGTAACACGATGAGACGAGAAAGTCCTCGAACATGCAAGAACGACGAGTAGAAAGAATAAATAAAAGAACATTCCGCTACCTTGACTGGAACCCAGATCTTTCACGCGACTGTTGAGCGCGGTAACCATTCGGCCACGGACGTTCTCGCTCAACTACGCGCGTGGCATTGTCTAATGTCATGCCTGTGTAAATGGGAATATTTGTAGACACACACTGATTGCAACGGCCGCTTCGACGGAATTCATTGAACCAAGAATGGTGTGAGCATATGCCTCAAGCCGCAGGAGGAGATGATTCTGCTAAAATGTAGTAATCAGTAATTTTTGTTGCAGCGGCTAGTTACCTCAGACTTTGCGTTTCAAAGCCAGTCTGTGAGTGACTGAATGGAAAGCGCTGAATAAACAAGGATGAAGAAGGGGACAGATACGAAGCGCATTCTCAAGTAAAGGTGTACTGAAACAAACGTTGACTGTTAATACCGTTTATCTGGGTGTTGGCTCAAAAAGAAAAACTCTTTTAATTATAATGTGCAGTGACGGCACACTAATACACAAACCCTCCTCTTGCTCTCTTATGCGGTATGCCTCATGTATTTCTCGGGCTGTTTTGTTAGCGTATCTTCCCAGAACTCTTGTTTTTTCCAAGTCCGGGCCACATGGGCGCCTCTTACAGTGCACCGCAAGATTGCCCGGCGGGGACTGTTTCACTGACCAGGCATGTTCCCTGGCCCTCTCATTCATGCAACGCCCCGTTTGGCCCACATACGATTTCCCACAACTCAGTGGTATGTTATATACCACTGACGTTGCACACTCCACCTATTGCCTAGCGTGTTTTTTTTTACACACTTTACCCTCCCCCTTTTCGTTGTTTATTTTTGAACATAGATGAGTCAGCTTGAGTTGCGCTGAAAACACCACCGGTACTTCAAAATGTCCCGCAACATTTTTTAGATTGTGAGATAGATTGTAAATGCAAGGAATCACCGCAGGTATTGTTAATTGTCTGGAAGGAATATGATCGTCATCTTTTTTCTTCATCTTGGAAAAAAGGTTATCCGCTACTTCCACCAAAAAGCGATCGGGGTACCCTCCGCGTTTTAGACGATTCACCTGCGTGAGGAAGCTTTCATCCGCAACACGGTGGCATGCTTTTGCCAGCGAGGTTCTCATTAGGGACGATGCTGTTGCCCTTTTAACGAGTTTGGATTGCGCAGGATTGAAGGGCGGAACGCCTGTGTTCTTTAGTGTCAAAAGCCACAAACTTGTCTCTTACTCTAGGGACGACAAGCATCAAAACAGCGATTCTGCAACTGTGCCCAACAACCTCACCGTTGCTATCGACGGCAACGACGCGTCGGCACTCGTGGACACCGGAGCAGATTACATAGTTTTCAGTAAGAAGCCTTCTCGTCGCCTTCGGAAGGTCACGATACCGTGTGTAGACATGCAAATACGCACCGCCGGAGCACACTTCGTCACTCCTGTTGGGAGGTGCACTGCCTGCGTCGAAATTTATGAAAACCTGTCCAGTCAAGTTCGTCATCCTTCAGGACTGTGCGACAGACGTATTTCTTGGCGTGGATTTGTTCTGTGAGAACGGTGCCGTCATCGTCCTTGCAGCAAACAAGTTCAAGCTGCGAAAGCCCGTCCTACGTTCGGGGGGATGCAAAACGACGCCAGGCGCCGACTGAGTCATTGCGCACCACGTGAACCGGGTGCCGCGGTCGAGTGTTCTTGCGCCCGTCGTGGCCGATGCTGTCGACTATGGAAAACTTCTTCTGGAAGGAGAAGTTGAACAGCCTCTCGGCAAAGGAATAGGCGTTGCAAGGGGCGTAACAGAGCTGCAGGATGAACGCACTGTAGTTCTCGTAACGTACCTCCGACAGGAGGCACAGCACCTCACGAAATGTGCCATTGTAGGACATGCCGACAATGTCCGGAACGTCGCCGAAATGGCCGCGATCTCCAATGAGCCCTCGCCACCTCATCCGTGCCGTACACCGCCGCCGTAGCTCGACGTTAATCTCAAGCTCAGTGCCATGGAACGACGATAGCTCAGAGACTTCTTTGCCAAATTCAGCGACTGCTCTGCGATTCAGTCGAAAGTGCGCCGAACAGTTGCGAAACATAGCATCGTTACAAAGGACGTTGCGCTCCTTGTGCATCGGCAACTGTACCGGGTCTCCCCGAAGGAAAGAGAGGCCATTCATGAACAAGTACAACAGATCAACCCGTGGGCCTCACCGCTCGTTCTGGTGAAAAATAGGGATGGAACGCTTAGATTGTGCGTTAAATCCAGGCGGCTTAACGCGGTGACCACGAAAGACGTGTTTGCGCTCCGCCACATCGACGACACACTTGACTGGCTGCGCCACTCCTGATACTTCTCGTCGATGGACCTGAAGAGTGGCTACGGGCAGATCGAAGTCCACGAACGGGACCGAGTGAAGACTGCCTTCATCACGCCCGATGGAGTGTGCGAGTTCAAGGTGATGCCCTTCGGACTGTGCACGGCTCCAGCAACTTTTCAAAGTGTCATGCACACCGTCCTGGCAGGCATCAAAGGAGAGAGTTCTCTCTTTTTCCTCGTCGACGTCGTGGTATCTCGCTTAACTTACACGAGCATTTCCGGCGCCTTCGAGCCATTCTTCAAGAAATCAGGACCGACGGACTCACCCTCAACCCGACGAAGTGCTGGTTTGCCTACGGCGAACTGAAGTTTCTAGGCCAGGTTGTGAGCAACAAAGGTGTTTTTTCTTACCCTGAGAAGACTCGCGCCGTAGTGGCAGCTCCACTTCCCACCAACGAAAAGGCCGTTCAAAGATTCCTGCGACTTTGCGCGTGCTACTGGCGGTTCGTTCGGGATTTCGCCAAGCTTTCTGCACCACTCACGCACCTAAGAAACGACGGCTTGAACTTCGAATAGGGAGAAGAGCAACACCGGCCATTTGACGAGCTAAAGAAACGACTGCTGTCGCCACCGGTTCTTGGCCACTTCGTCCAATCGGTGAAAACCAAAATCCACACGGAAGTCAGCAATGCAGGACTCGGCGCAGTACTGGTACAACGACAAGAGGGTACCGAGAGCGTGAACGTCCTCACTGGACGGACGTTGTTGATCGCGGAACGAAATTACTCGACGAACGAGAAGGAATGCCTGGCAGGCGTCTGGGCCATTATAAATTTCCACCCCTACTTATACGGGAGCCCTTTTGGTGTGGTCACCGCCCACCACTCGCTAGGATGGTGAGTGAGCCCGAAGGACCTTTCGGGACACCTCGCTCGATGGAGCCTACGACTGAAAGAGTACGATGTGACCATGGTCTACAAGTAAGGGCGAAAACACAGCGACACTGACTGCCTTCTACAGCCCCCGTCGAGTAAGCTGCAGTCTGCGCCAAAAACGACGATGACGAGGATCGCTTTCTTGACGTAGTGAGCGTTAACGGCATGGCAGCGCTCTAGCGGGACACTCCTGTACCTCGCGTACTGATCGGTCGCTTGAAGAAACGAGGCGAACAACTTTCCCCGCCTTTTCACGTGCCCTACCAACATTTGTCGACTGGAAAGTTATTCTCTACAAAGTGAACTTCGAAGAGATTAACACGACGTAACCCCTACAAATCTTCGAGAAGAAATCTTCCAACCCTGCCACAATGATCCGACATCTGGTCACCTTGGCTACAGCAGGACTCTCGCAAGTATCCGAGAGAAGTACTTTTGGCCAAAGCTCCCAATTACTGCCCGCCTCTACACACGATCGTACCACGAGTACCTGCGACGGAAGAAACCGCCGTCGAAGCCGACAAGCCTCTTGCAGCCGATCGCGCCCCTGACTACATTGTTCTAGCAGATTGCATGGGATATACTTGGACCTTTTCCACCGTCGCGAGAGCGAAACTGTTGGATAATCGTGGCTACAGATTATCCCATCCGGCGGGACGAGGCGAATGAACTCGTGTCGCGAACTGCTTTGAAAGAAGCCAAGTTCTTTGTTTAGTCTATCATCCTCCG